CGAAACGGCGGATACCGGAGGATATAGGGAGTACCGGGAGGAATCCGGGCTGGGAGCGGCGCTGGGAACGGGGCTGGGAGGCGGCCAAGGCGCTGCGGGGCTCCGCGGGCCATGCCCGCCCCGTGCCCTCCCTCATGGCCGCCCCGTCTCCCCTCAGGCCGCCATCGCTCTTCGGCTCCGCTGCAGGTCCTGCTCTTCCTCAACGGCTGGTACTGCGCCACATATTTTCTCCTGGAAGCGTTCGTGTTTGTGTACAAAGGTGAGTCTTTCACTCCAGAACTCTTCCCGATCTCGCCGCGATGGGCAGGAATGTGGTGCTGAGGGCGGTGCTGTTCCTGCAGTGCTGCTCCTGCCCTATCCCGTCTCCAACTTGGTGCTGGACATAGTGCTGCTCCTCCTCTACCTCGGCATTGAGGCCACACGCATCTTCTTCGGTGAGTCCCCCCGAGTTCCAGAGGCTCCACAGGGAGTGCGGAGTCCTGGGACACCCTCAAAGAGTGTCCCTGGACATTCAGGTTGGATGGGGCATGGAGTAACCTGGGCTAGTGGAAGGTATCCCTGCCCGGGGGAACGGGACATTTAACTTTCCTCCCCACCTAAAACCCTCTATGATTTCCATGATCTGATCCCACCTCTGTGTTCCACAGGCTCCAAGGGGAACCTGTGCCAGCGGAAGGTGCCGCTGTCCCTCAGCCTGGCACTTACAGTGCCGGCAGCTGTTCTGGCCGTGTACTACCTGCTGCTCCAGACATATTCCCTGCGCCTGGAAGCATTCCTGAGTGCCATCCTGCTCCTCTTCTATGGCCTGGAGCTGCTCCTGGGCTTCCTGGCACTACTCTCCTTCTCCAGGTGCCGCATCCTGGGAACTGGGGGACCCAGCACAGGAGCTGCCAGGTTGGTGTCCACACATCCCTGTCTCTGTCCTTTTCCACAGCACGGATCCCTACTGAGGGCAGAAGCATCACCTGTGCCAGCTCCACTTTCCAACCCTGGGAAGGGGGATGATCCCACCTTTCCCACCTGCTGCCACCTGGACAGATCCCTCCCATGTTTGTTGCTTCTACATGGACATATCTCCCATTTTTCCTGCTTCCCACTTCACCAGAGACCTGCTGCCACAGGGATTCGTCCCTCCCTTTTCCCACTTCCCACTTCACTCACTACTCCCTGGACACATCCCTCCCACCTTTCTCACTCTACACTCCACTTGGACTCCTCAGAGCCTGAGCCAGCTCAAGGTATGAAGAATCCTTTTTTTTTTTCCTATGACTTTCCAGAATAATTCACTATTTTCCAATAAATATTTATTTTTACCCAGAGCCCAGGAATGTGGGTCCCCCCAGGAATGCTCAGGTGCTTCCAGCACCTCAGAGCTGGTTTGGGAAGCACAGGAGCCCACTGGGGGAGGAAGAGGGTGAGGGATAACAGGTGCAGAGCCCTCCCCAAATCCCTCCCATTCCCTCATTATCCCAAGTCCCACTGGGACTCACTCCCTGGGGCTGGGTTTGGCCGGGGCCAAAAAAAGTACAGGAGCACTGTATAAAAGACTGACAACGTCATCCGAGTTTATTACACAATTCCAACCTATCCAAAGACAAATCTAATCACTGCGAGCAGGAGGGGCGGCGCCTCGCCGGGGCTTCCAGGGATTTGCTCTGCAATTTGGGGGGAATCTTTTCCCCCCCTCCACTATTTGGAAAGAAACTAAAAATCTGTGGCGGTAAGTAAAAAAAAAAACCCGGAGCTCTCCCACCGTGTGCTCCCACCTCGTGGGGCTTGGGAAAATTGGGGTGGCTTTTCCTGAATTTGTGTTATTTCAACTTAAAAAGACTTCCAGGGCCTGGGTTTTCCCACCTGGGCATGATTCCAGCCCTGGAAGTCACCCAGTGTGTCCCGGCTCATCCCGACCCTCCTGGGCTCTCCCTCTCCTTCTTGGGATCCCAAGGGGACATGAGAGGGTCACAGCCTGCCCTGCCTCTTCCGCTTCCTCTAAAACAAGGAAGGCTCTGCGGGAGAGGCTGGAGCTGCCGTTTGGGTGGGAATGCTGCTGTGGGGAATGTCAGGATAGAGAGGGTGACCCCCAGCCCAGCTCCAGCTCCTTCTTCCCAGCTCCTGGAGGGTGAAGGGGCAAAGGAGGAGCGTGGCACAGTGTCCTGCTAGGGTGATGGGGATGGGAGTGTCCCCAGGCAATCCAGAGGATGGCACATGGCTCCTGATGCCGGGATTAGGAGCTGTGCATCTCCAAGCCCCCAAGCTGCACAGGGAGGGCTCCATCCCCTCCGTTCCTCCCCCCAGACTGGGAAGGGCTCACAAACCTCCCTCCATGGAATAAAAGCACCATTTCTCTTTGGGTCCAAGTATCCACAGAGCGGAGCGGGATGGCCCCGGGAAGCAGCAGCAGTGGTGGTGGGGGGGATTCCCAAGGCCACGAGGTGCAGGCAGGGGTCCCGCCCGGAGGGGGCTGGGGGTGGCGGGGAAGGGACCGGGATGGGGCAGAGCGGCCTCGGGCACGGCGTCCTGGTCGAGGTGAGGAGATACGAGTCCATTAAAAACCACTTCCTGCCAAATTCCTGCCGGAAGAGAGGAGAGGAATGGTCGGAGCGCCCTTCCTTTATCCCTCATGCTTCCAGGGGATTCCTGAGCCTCCCACCTGTCTCAGTGGTGCCGGTCCCTGTCTCTGTCCCTGTCCCGATGCCGCTCATGCTCCCGGCTCCGCTCCTGGAAATAATCCTCATGCCGATCGTCGCTGTGGAGCAGATCCCGGTGCCGCCGGCTGCTCTCGCGGGACCGGCTGGGAGAGCGCTCCCGGGATCGGTGTCTTTTCCTTTGGGAAAAGAGGAGACAAAACCCAAAGAGTGACTTTTAGTCGCTCACCTGCGGGGAGGATCACGTTCTCTGGATCCAGGGGGATACCTGGAGCTGCTGCTGGAGCTGCTGCTGTAGGATTTGGCCTCAATTCCATGCAGGCAATCCTTGAGGGAAGAGAGGAGGACGCGGCACCGCTCGTCGCTGGCCACGCGCGACTGCTTGATGACAGCGATGGCCGTGAGCAGTGTCTCGATGGCGTTGCTGTAATCCCCTGGGGGAGTGGAGCAGGGGTCAGGAGCAGGAATCCATCCCGGGATGGGGGGACATGAGGGACACGGGAAGTACCTGCGCTAGCGCCGGACACCGCCTTGGAAATGGCGCTGCTGGAGATGGCGCGGTTGCGGTTCATGATCTCCTCAAACTCGCCTTCGCTCACGGCTGGGATCGGCGGGCCCAGCTCCCGGCTGTTGGTACAGAGGGAACCAGGAGTCAGCGGGATCCTCCCCAAGCATCCCACCCCCATTCCCGCCCGGCTCACCTGCTGTGGTTGTAGGGAGCCATGGCCTTGCCGTAGGTGTCCGGAGGGGGTCCCAGGGCGGCGGTGGGCGGCGGGAAGAAGGCGGGATTGAGGTGCAGGGCAGGGGGCACAGCTCCCGGCG